TAAAAACATACAACAGGAGGGATTCGCTGGTGGTCACCCACCCAACTACTAACCTCCCGGCGTGTGGCTTCTGCGCGGTCAATAGGTCGCTGGGGGTCAATGTCGCGCCCTCCAGCGTCCTTGGCGTGGGTGCCGTTTAGACGGGGTTGCTGACTGGCATACCTTGCACCATCCTGGTGCTGACCTGCACTGCCCTGCCGTTACTGACTGGGATCACACCCAGTCACGAGCCGTCCGACTCAATCCGCCTGCCATTCCGACCGTGTCATTGGCGCAAAGCCCCACCCCTTGAGACATCTGAGTGTCTGAGCGGCTGCACTTCGCCATCTCACTCATTAGGCAACAAGTTTAAGTGGCTTATCATACTAAATCATAATCATTCGTCGTACACGTGACTATCCATTTATCAAAAAATAGACTATTTATTATGATAGGTTGGGTTGTCAGACACTGCATTAACGATGCCACAGTGCCTCGTTGCATTGAGAGCCATTATAGCGAGATAACAATAGATATAGTGATGGACACCAGCCGAAGACCATGGTTCAATGGTTTTGAAAGTAAACGTGATGACTCGCAGAAACGGGTTTATTCTTATTCTCAGTCGAATTAAAATATAATGGCCACTGCTTCTTCAACTCTCCTTTCAACACCAAAGAACGATCGAGAGATTGTGTACTATCATGTGGGAGTTCTATTCTGAAAAGGTGATCTTGATGGCCGGAGGGTCTGGGTCGCTCGCAGTCTATAGCAGCTTTAGCAAATAGTATTACAATAAATAAACTTGTGATTGTTTTGGTCATCAAACGTCATCAATATTTTTCATGATATCAGATAATATTAACAATATGGCGTGCCTCTGTTCCTTTGTATAAGAGTGTTTATAATCGCAGGAAAGCAGTACAAGTTTTGCCCTTGTATCCAACCTGCCCCATCACCTCTGGTTACACCCCCATATTGGAGTGTCACTCTGGGAAGGTAACGGTTCAACCGCACACCACACGGGATACAGAACCGGTACCCTCTCTGGAGAAAGTATAGGGGACAGTTTTCCACGATGGCCCTTGATCATTGTATTGGAAAACCACAAATAAGCCAAAGGGGACGGAGAAGTTTTGCACTTGCCACCGTACAAGCGATTTATTAGCCAATACAATGATTAGCCCACATCCATAAAAGCGCCGCTAACGAGACTAGGAAGCTTCCTACATTCCATGCTATGCCCCAATCTCCATAAACCAGTTTAGCAGCGACTACCATTATGAAAAGTGCAGTTGTGCTCAGAGGCAAGAGTATGTGTTGCGGATCTAACACCCAACCTTCACTGATCATAAGTCCAGGAAACCTGAGCTCTCCAAGTTCTGGACAGTGCCACATGTCAAGATTGCCTAAGATATCACTGGACCATCAGTTAGGGTAATAAAAGTTCACTCAATATTCCTCAAAACATACAGATGACTGAGAACAAGTTCTCTACTCAATAATTTGAATGGTGCTGCAGAATGAGGTTGTGTAAAGGCAAACCTTAACTGTGAATGTAAGTCCAAGCGTGCCAAATCTCTTTTGGCTTCAAAGAGCCTATCTTCTGGGCACCTTGAATCCCATTCACTCCATGATCTGCACAGGCTGTTGCAATTCACCTCGCCCGTGGAGGGGTTGTAAGAGCACGGATACTCCTGTGGCTGGTAGTCATGAATGGTCTGTTCCAGCTCCTTTTTCTGGGCGCGTATATTTTCTTTTGTGAACATGCCAACATATCTGTTCCTGAGTATAGGATTTGTAATGCCTCGCTGATCCTTCCCAGCAATAGAAATCTTGCCAGAGTATTAGCAATACTAGCTTTCTGATTGGACGCATTGATCAAGTACTGACCTCAACAATATCTACTGCCTTGACCCTCAGAAGCGGCACGTACTTTCTCCACCACCCTCTATGGCTATACCATGAGCGATTAATTTCTTGCCAGATACCATTCTCGTTATCTGAGTTGATAACTTTGACTGGAAATATAAAAGAGTCGCTGCTGGTACCCCAACACAGTAAGATGGAGGATGAACCCGGATCTTCCGCGTTAATAATTGGTTGCAGGATCTCTTCTAGTTTCGCTTTGCGCGTCTCATGACTGACTTTGCGGGAATCGACAGCTGGCTTGAATCTCAATTTTCTACCTTTCTTAGACGCAGTTGAACTGCCTGAGTTGAGGCTTGGCCTAGTTGTGGTACCTCTCGGAGGCTCGAGTTGACCATATTGTATCTCCCGCAGGGCTGAAATTTGAGGAGTGTTTGTTGCTAACTGAAACCACTGAGCGTGCTGAGCATTGGCAATAGGTAATGCAGAGGATTCCTGCCTGTGGAAAGACAGGAATCTAGCAAAAAGCCAAGACTCTAGAAGGTGAATCTTTAGCTTTTGAGGATACCGATCTTGGTAATGCCGCTCATCATGCTGAGGCCACTCATGGCTAGGGAGCGAGACAGTGCTGCTTCTTATCATAGCCAATTCGGGCTGGGCAATAGAGCTCATATCTCCTTAATTTCGAGGACTAATCAGTATATATATTGTAGAAGACAAAAAACTTTCGTAGATAAATGAGATAGGAGAAATCTATCTATCACAAAATAGTGGTAGACCCAGAAGCTGAGTATTCTGAGAGAAAAGGGACACGTTATAGATTGTGAGTTAAAGAATTGATCAGCTTATTGCTCATTACGATAAAGCCTAGCCATACAAGGCTGATTCTCCATTGTTGTTGCAGCCTTATGGTAGGGATGCATTTTACTCTCGACATATCATATCAGCCTTTTTCAAGCTGAGGATAGATGACTAGAGCAAAAATCTAATATTTCTGCTGGCTTTGATTTAACGGGCAAGCCCACTGGCCCGGACTTGTTCGGAACACAGGATCTAAGGCTCGTTACTGCGAGACCCCAACCAACTGCGGCTCTGGTTTGTCCGATGTTTTAAGCCTGTGATGCTTTCCTCCTGACCCTCATGTTGACAAGGT